CTTCCCCCTCTTCTCTTGCTCAGGCCTGCACCACTGCAGTCACCGTTCATTTATTCATTCATTAAACACTGAGCACTCACTCTGTGCCGGGTCCCAGGAAGGGTGAGGGAGTCAGACACAGGCCCTGCCCCTGCCCTCAGTGACCAGCCAGTCCAGCCCAGGCGGGGAGAGATGCGTACATAGGTTTTAAAGCAGACGCAGAGCTCACGGGACCCTGTGTTCTGGGTGTTCAGGTGCTGCTGGTCCTCCACTACCCACTGCTCCCCAAGGCTGGTGGGATGGGGTCCCAGTGGCAGGGGCGGGTATCCCCTTTCCGTTCCTCATCCACCTGCCCAATGCCCATCGTTAAAGCAAACCCCAGGGGGCCTTGGACAGGTCAAGGGTTCTGTGAGGAGAGGACCCAGGAGTGTGGGGGCATTTGTGGGATGAAGGGGTCCCCGAGGAATGGAGCCCACACCCATAGCTCTCCCCACAGGTGATACGGCAGCCTGCGAAAACTGCCCTCCTCACTGGGATCCCCTTCCTGCCTCCTCCCAGGGCTCTGCCAGGGCCTTGCTCAAACCCCCACACCAAAGGCATCTGAAGCTCAGTTTTCCCAGGGCCTCCAGCTGCCCTCAGACACTGATGTCTGTCCCCAGGTGCTATCTGCCCCTCACTGGCCCAGTGCCCCGATTCTCCAGGCTTTATCAAGGTGCTAAGGCCCCGGTGGGCAGCTCCTCGTCTCAGAGCCCTCCTCCGGCCTGGTGCTGCCTTTACAAACAACTGCGGGAGAAGGGCCAGGGCGGAAGCCCCAGGCTTTAGAGCCCTCAGCAGGTCTGGGCAGCTGAAGCAGGCAATTTTCTAGTCACTGGGAGAGGCAGAGCCAAAGGAGGGACCTCGGGCCTTCCATTTCTTCTTCTTCCAGGGTGGGGTGGACTGGTGTCCCCCTAGCCTTGCAAACCCAGGTGGCCTGCCCTTCTCCCCAGAGGGAGGCGGCCTCCGCCCATTGGTGCTCATGCAGACTCTGGGGCCGAGGTGCCCTGGGGGGTGATCTCTGGTGCTTACAGCCAAGGGAGCCATGGCTCCATGGCCAGATGACGGAAACAGGGTCTGACCAAGTGCCAGGAAGACCTGTGCTATAAACCACCCTGCCTGATCCTGCCCGGCCTGACCCCGCCCTGCCCTGCCATCCAGCATGATTAAAGAATGCTGTCTCCTCTTGGCGATTCAGACTGGTTCTTTCTGCTCACAAAGAAGCGAGCCCCCGGGTCACTCACGCAGCCGGCGCGCCTTGGAGCTAGTGGCACCAGCATAGAGTCAGCCGTGTCACTCTCTGGTTGTGACCTTGGGCAAGTCCCCACATCTCTGCGCCTCGGTTTCCTGTCTGTAAAATGGGGATGATGGTAATCTACTTCATGCGGTGGACATAAGGATCAGATGCCAGGTTGCCCGACGAGTACACGTTCATGCTCAGCATCTACCAAGCCCCTACTGTGTGGCGCAGAGCTGAGCACCTGTGCCGTTTATGCTCCAGTGAGGCACACACAAGCCCCCCTACCTCCCGCCCCAGGGACCCTGTCCTATGTTTTGTGTTTAATTATGATAAGAGAACTGTTGGATCTTCTCTGCAGGAAAACACACACTACTACATTGTATAGTGGAACATCTTGATGGGGTCTGCCTTTTTTTTTTTTTTGAGACGGAGTCTCGCTCTGTCACCCAGGCTGGAGTGCAATGGTGCGATCTCGGCTCACTGCAACCTCTACCTCCTGGGTTCAAGTGATTCTCTTGCCTCAGCCTCCCAAGTAGCTGTGATTACAGGCACCCGCCACCACGCCTGGCTAATTTTTGTATTTTTAGTAGAGATGGGGTTTCACCATATTGGCCAGGCTGATCTTGAACTCCTGACCTTGTAATCTGCCCGCCTCAGCCTCACAAAGTGTTGGGATTACAGGTGTGAGCCACCGCGCCCGGCCTGGCTTTCTAATGTGTTGTCAAGTTTGGACTCTCTAGGCTAACCTGGTGGCTACTCACATAAATATATTTAAAGTGACCCACGCTGATTTCCCGACAGACTTGACGGGGCATCCCGCCCTCCTGTGTGTTGTCCCTGGTGCATTGCTTGGCTTTTGGGCACCAGGTGGAAGAAGTATGCTATCAAGAACCGACCATCTGCACCTATGCCGGGATTCAGCCCAGCCCAGCAGCCCACCTTATAGGGCCAGACAGGTCTCTGTTTCCTCGGAGGTCCCCGGACACTGAAGGGAGGCTTCCCGCTGCACCTCAATGTCATACAGCTCTTGCCAAAGAGGCTCCTCCCATGTCAGAGGCTACCCAAGGGAGCGATCTCACAGCATGTCTCTTGGCAGGCTCTATTTGTACATAGTCAGCCTTACCAGCATCCCAGCTCCGGCCCTCGGGACAAAGACCGCCCAGAGTGCCAGCCAGGAGCCTTTTGTCATGTATAGCACCAGGATGAGCCATTTGCTGATCGCTGAGGCAGCAAAGCTTTGAAGCTTCTTGCCAAGTGCTTGCAGGAGGATTGAAGTTTGTCCTTTGTAAACTGAAGCCAAGTTCCCCAGACAGTTCCAGGCCACATTAGTTCAGGGAACAGAGGCTGGCTGTCTCTCTGTCATCCCATCTGACCCACTGCACACGTTCCTCCACCCAGGGCTCAGATGTGGCCTCTGGACTGTCTAGGCCAGGTTTTTTTGCACTAGGTCCAGGTTTCTGACTCAATGGCATGGCCCGGATGGGTGCTAAGAGCCACTAGATCTTTGTGATAAGCTTCTCCCAACAGGCACATTCTTGGCGGGGGTTGGGCAAAGGTCCTGGGAAACTGGAGGCCCCCAGTCCTGCTGCCAGGTCTGTGGGGCACAGCATCCCCCAGGAGATCTGCCATGCTTAGTACTGGTAACCTCAGCAAGCTGGCTGAATGCCCGTGTAACCACCTCTGGGCAATCGCTTTCAGTTACGTATTTTGAAAATGTTTTCCACCTGAAACGTTAGGCAATGAGGAAGGGGAAGGAGAGGGGGGTCAAGAGTGGAAGCAGCCTTGGGAAATGAAAAATACCCCTGACAAGAAGTGTACCTGAGACAGGGCAACCTCATGCCCACTTTGCCATCATTTTGTTGAGTGACCTGGGACAAATACAGGGAAGACTGAGGGGAAAAGGGTGATGAGATGGGAAGACTGAGGGGAAAAGGGTGATTAGATGGGAACCTGAGTTAAAATCAGGGGCAGAGCTGGTGCAGGGATTTTAGCTTGACCATGTCCCTGGTGACCTGCTGTCTGGATAGGTGGGCTGGATCCATTTCACGGGCTAGGTTAGGTTGTGTCTGAAAGTGTTCAGCCTTCCTGGGAAGATTTGCACTGGAGCTCCTCTGCCACATGGGAGTGTGGGGAAGGGAGTAGAGAATTCTGATGTGGTGATCTGGGAAGGCTTCTTAGTGGAGGGGACATCTGGGAAAGGCCTTGGAGATGAATAGGAGTTTCAAAGGCACTTGACATGGGGGAAGGAGCCAATGAGAGGAAAGGGTTGCAGGTGGACCAATGTAGTCTATGCTCTGGGCAGTGGGAGAGGCCAGTAGGTTAGATAAATGTCTGGAAAGGAGGCAAGGAGAGCAGAATGGGGTTTGAGACAGGAAAGGCATGGAATGTCAGGCTAAGTCTAGGGCTGACCTCTTAGGTGCTGGGGCGTCTTTAAGAGGCAGATCACTCTGCAGCCAGGTGGAGCATAGGCTGCAGAAGGTGAAGCTGGAGGCAGTGAGGAGGCCTGTGCCGTGGTCCAGGGGATGATATAGAACGCCTAGAAACTGGGTGAATCATGATGTCATCCTGGACGGGGAAGCATGTCCCCAATTGACTTTGAAGCTGGTGAGAGATTCAACAGCAGAGAGGAGGGAGGAGGGCAGCCGGGGAGGCGGAGGGGAGGGGGAGGGCGGGTCGAGCTTGGATTAAGGGTCTACCAGGGTGTTTCTCCCACAAGGCTTTTGTTAGACAGTGGGAAGTCAGCAGGCCGGGGTGCCAGGAGGTGGGCTCCTGTGGCAGCTCTGCCCAGGAGAGTCCCTTGTTTGGCTGGAGGACTGGAGGGTGCTGGGTAAATCATTTAGCCTTTTGGGGCCCCCATATTGTCCTTATCCGTAACATCAGATGCAAAAGCCCTTCTCTCTTACCCCACTGAGGACTTCCGGATATCTAAGGCTGCAGGGGCATGGCTATTTTCAGAACCCCAAACCAGGACCCATGGAGAAGTGGCAATGGGGCAGAAAACGTGAAGTTAGCAGCGGTTGTCCCAGAGAATACTAAGTGCACGGGACAGGGCTGGGGAAGCCTGAGAGAGGTGGTGAGTACTCAGACGCTGGCGAGTATGGAATCTGGAGC